AAACAATTTAAAATTATAATATGCAGACACATATAATATCAGTAAAGCATCGCTTTTGATAGTGGGGAGGGGGTTTTTTTTTTGACAAATTACCTGAAAAGCCTAATTGCATGACAAGCGAAAAAAAAAGGCGGGGGGGGGGGGTGTCCAAACAAAATCCTATTTCGTTGAGGTAGTGAGGCACCTTCAATATTCCACCTTCTTTTCGAAACACATAAGCATATATTACTTAGATTTAAACTACCAAACAAAATAGGGGATGAGGCTTTTCAGTGGATATTTACGATAGAAAAAGGTTATGTATGCCAAAGAAAAGAAAACGTAAAGGGGGAGGGACATGCCCCTCCTGATGCTATTGGCTGAAATATTTTTCTTTGAATTTAAGCGTACATGAAGTATTCGATAAATCAGGATTGCAATTCAACCTAAAACTATAACGAAAATATTGTAATTAACCGTCCATATCCTGGAATTTGCGCTCGACATAACATTTAAAAATTGAAGGTCAACCAGCATATAAGGAAAATTTACTGTTGCAAAGTCTATAATACTCAGAAAAAAGTAGGGAGGAGGGGGGACTTCTACAGGCCCGTTTGCCGAGATTTCATTTTATGGTTATACAGTCATGTTCTTGTTATAGATTTGGGCCATAGGCCATAGATTTGGATTGAAAAGTGTTATTACAAAAAAACTTAAATTTAGTGTTTGGGAAATAATAAATTATTAAATTTTGTGAATACGAATTCTAAATGTAAAGAGAATTTGTTGTCTTTGAAAATATTTGCAAAAATTGTGCTCTATTTGGAACATGATTTATTTGCATTTTTCAAGAATGATAAAACAAGTTCTATATTCTTTCCATTTATTATCAAACTGCAGTATCCATACCCATTTTATTTATGTGTAACATTGTATGTAGATGTATTTAGTAATTCACAATGTTTTAAAAGTCTTGGTGTGTCATTATGGTCCAACGATTTGAAACTTAAATAAATTTATATTGGGACTCCAATCGATCCACGAGCCAGGTCCGCCAATGATCATGTGTTTTTCCATAGCTAGGATTATTTGAGTAGAGTTTTGTTATTTCATTCGGACAAATTTAATTAACAAAACACAAAGCGCATGTACATAGAGTATATAAGTATATTCTCCGTTTATCTGGTCCCTTTTTTTTTTTTTTTTATTAAAAATGAAAACATATTTATCTAGTAATCGCCATTACGAATTACGGCAACGCTTACAAGAAATATCTTGTTTTTATTTCGAAGTTTAAAAATGAAAATATAAAATATCATGGAAAAAATCATGACAAAAAGTAGGCTACAGATATCCAACCAAAATTGATATCGGATATTTTATAAGTTTGGATACATATGTAAATAGAAATAAAATATTTTTATGTTTGACATAAAAATTACGTTGTGTACATCTAAGGTAATCCTCACTTTTTAAATTTAAAAATGTACACATTTGTATATATCCAGCCAACTGAATATTTAATTTCCTATTCCGAAATGGTGAATCTCCTCAAATGATTTTTTAAAATCAAGATCCTTGTCAGCCGTACTGTACGTTCATCGTTAGGTACTTTTAGTTCGGAGTCGAGTGCATCATACGCAATGGTACTTTTTTTTTTTTTACCCCGCATTGTAGCACAAACGTACCGATGGAAAAATATATCTTGATCTCGGTCAATATAAGAAAAACATAGTATTTTCAAAAAGCTTTTAAATACTCTCGCATAGATCAATGGAAACACTTCATTCGAAATCGGATTGTAAAAAAGCAACTTCCATTCTCGATAACATTCAGCTTAGCATACATGAAGAGATAAAGAGTACAGAAAACCAAGAACATTATGAATATTCTATGTGCATAGTAATGATATGCGCAGCTGTATGCGCAGTAAAATTGTTTGTGTAATTTTTAGTTTCCTCTGCTCGTGCAATTTTCGATTTTTGTTTGTGCATATTTAACCCTTTAATCGTGTAAAAAATTTCGGATTCGTGTATTTTTCGTTATGTTTGTGTAAAAATCTTTTAAATTATGTGCAATTTTTACCGATACGTGCATTTTTATTTTACTCGTGTATATTTTTCTTCTAGCTCGTGTATAAAATCATGATCGTTGTGCAGAAAATAATTTTGAACCAATCGGCGTGCCATACCGTAGGATGTACTTCCACATGTAGCAGCTGCCGTAGATATTGCATCGATACGCCTCTGCTGCTTCGTGGACAACTGTTATGTGCTGTTGTAAAGTGTCACCTCTACAAAACTTCTAAGTGCTGAACTTCTAAGTGCTGATGCTAAGATAAGCTATATTAAATTCCTCCTTCTGGTATTTCATTGAACGATGCATCCATAGCTTAAAAACTAAAAGAGAAAAAAAGGTTATTAAATAAATGACCATCATAAACATCCAATCCAGCACCAAAAATGCAGTCTAATCCGGCACATTTTCCATAAAAATTAACCAATTCCAATCCAGTACATGTCAACATTTTTAAATCGAAATATTTTTGTAACAAAAGGAGTTATAACAAATAAACATATAACACCAGGTCAGGATTACTCCAAATTATCAATTGTTAGCGACACTCCGGCTGCTGGATGTATAAAACTCAAAATCGAAGAAAAATCAACTCCATGCCGCGTCAAACTCAATCGGAAAAATATTGCAGTCTTCAGTCGTTAAATGTTCAAGTTTAAGAGACGATAGGAAAAGTAGCAATTAAACACACTAATAAACATTTAACTAGAAATTCATCAGTATCTACGGAACAAGCATATCTGACGGTTAACGGAAATATTTACTGAAATCTCAGGTTCCTACCTTTTTCGATTAGTTCCCACCGCCATCTTGTTTCGTCCAATCCGGAACGGGATCACGACAGTGTATAATGGACATCAAAAATGGACACTGTCTTCGGCGACAAGGACTTACAACAACCAATGGACTGTTTCCGAAAATTCAACAAATTATCATGCACTGATTATGTTTGATTGACTTTAAGACACATGGTAAATTTGATAGGCACCCATTTTGGGGGTCGCAATGCATTCAATAAACATTTGAAAGTAAAAAGTTTAATACTCAAAGGTTACCCTATGTTTTAAAAAATGAGTGAAAACGACAGCTTGTAAGATTTAGAATATCTAATCAATTATTTTAAAAAAATCAAAAATTGAACTTATCCATGCTTGTCTAAAATTCAAACAGTTGATAAAACTTGAATTCATTGCCTTAAACCCTCAAAACAAACAATAAGATGCAATTAACAAAACAGCAAAGACCTGAGAAGAGCAAAGAATTGCAAGAGCACAAAAACAGTTTTATATGCTATTTTCTTAAATATTATTTGTCTTATTGTTCAAATTCTTATTCGGGGAGGCAGTTCAATTTCTGAAAGAGTCTAGAAAGCACAATTTTTGCAAAAAAATCGTGAGGTTTATGAGAAGAAGGAACCAGAATCAGGAATCCACTACATTAAATTTCTTCATGACAGCGTCCAAACCTACAGGCCATGAAGAGTAAAGGAGTTTTGGGATAAACAGAAAGTTAATCTTTTGTCACACCAATTATTAGCAATATTCGCCAGATCTTTTAACCTTTGACTTGTTTCATTTCCTAAACTTGAAAAAAAACACCTTTCAGAAAGAAAAAATCAGCTACAGGAAATCATAGGATCTGCCATATTCCAATATACGAAGGGCCATACTCAAAATTGTGTTATAAAAACAATTAGAAATTGGATAAAAATGTTACGGACATGTGTTTTAAAAGAGAATATTTAAGTGAAATCATTAAATTATTGAAAAGCGTTTTTTTGTTTATTTCCGAGCACCGATGACATTATTTATTGAACTGCCCTCGCACAAAGGTGTGCTGAAAATGTTTACAGAAATAAATCTTAATGAGAAATGCCCCTTTGGTGACTTTTAACTGCAGGCAACGAAAAAATAAATGGCGTGTGAAGGTCGACGTAAAATGTTTGTAAGTTAGCAAATGTAGTGTTTATCGGGTTCTGTTCAGTTGATATGAGGAAACTTTTACATCATCTCTATTAAAAGAGAGACAGAGAGGTATCACAGATACTTACGAGCCTGTGTTATAGTGCCAGATTCCTGATTAAAGGTAAGTATAAAGAAATATATCTCTTCTATATTACAAGGAATGCATTCATTATGACTTGATTTTGAGCTCCTTATATAAAGAATCTATAACTTATCGTACAAATTAACAAAAATCGAATAAAATTAAAATATTATTCCCACTGGCTTTACTTTTGACAAACATGTGACATTTGATAACGCAGGTGGCTGAGGATGAAAAATTTAACGTACTGTTGCATTATAATTAAGGCATAAAGGCACAAGCTTTATTCAATAATGTTATGCAAAAACAATGTTGTTTTTTAAAGCTTAATTTACCTTTTTAAAAAGTTTAAATAGTACATTTTACATTCTCAAAATTTGTTTATATTTTAACTGAGTCATTCAATGTATAGCCAGTAATGTAGTAGGTAAACTGTATCAAGAAAGGGTTGTATCTGGTTAAATGGGTACAAATTCATGTATTATCTTTGATTCACCTGACTATTGATGAATACGTATATTAGGGATCTATAAAAAGGTATATAATTTTTTTTCTAGTTTTTATTATGTTGCAAAAAATGCAGCAGTGTTCATGGTAGAAAAGTGTACATTAATTCTGGAAGTTGAATATGTTTGTTACGGGCTTTGATATTGAGTGACAAATTATTTTGTTTTTCTTAACCTCAGTTGACCTTTTCTTGAATAATATAGTTGAGACCTTATTGCTCGGGGTTTCTTTATATCAATGACATGGTTTAAACACTCTGTCTAGTCTTAGACTAAACAGAAGAAGGGGAAAAAATGAGCAGGACCTTCACACGTCGTTCATTTTAATCTTTTGCTGATTCAGAACTGTAGAAATTTGTATCAGAAAAGGATACAAGTGAATAAACTAATCAAAGCACACTGTACCAATTGTAAAGTATGACAACTAAATCTGGAAATGACGTCATCATCGCACAGGAAGTGTTTGTCCGTCGTCGACTTGGGCTGCCCAGTGGGATCTCTTTCATAGTGGGCACGATCATTGGTAAGAAACATCCGTTCATGGGCACGATCATTGGTAAGAAACACCCATTCATGTATATTTTATATTTTAAAGTCTAAAAACGCTTGATAAATTCAAATAGTATTACAATGTCATAGGCGTAGTCACAGGGGGGGCAGCGGGGGCACTAGCCCCCCCACTTTTAGATCTGGGGGGGCAAGAGTATGTCTGTGCCCCCCCACTTTTTAATGAAGAACAAAATCACAGCTATTTTTCCCCAACATTACCTTTACTATAGTTATATCGAAGAATTGTGGGAGAAAATTGGAATTGAAAGTAACTTGTTGTTGCCCACTTCCCCCCCCCCCCCCCCCCCCCACGAAATAGGATTTTCGACTTTGGGGAACTTTCAATATCCTTTTTTTTTTTTTTTTTTTTTTTTTTTTTTGCTTGTCAAAGAATTTCTGGAGTTGAGCCCCCCCACTTTTAAGTTTGGGGAACTTTCAATTTCTCTTTTTTTTTTTTTTTTTTTTTTTTTTTTTGCTTGTCAAAGAATTTCTGGAGTTGAGCCCCCCCACTTTTAAGTTTGGGGAACTTTCAATTTCTCTTTTTTTTTTTTTTTTCGTGTCAAAGAATTTCTGGAGTTGAGCCCCCCCACTTTTAAGTTTGGGGAACTTTCAATTTCTCTTTTTTTTTTTTTTTTGCTTTTCAAAGAATTTCTGGAGTTGAGCCCCCCCACTTTTAAGTTTGTGACTACGCCTCTGAATGTAGTGTAAATTTTGAGAAACGTTTTTGCCAAACGCGTTTTTATTTGCCATTGAAATTTTTCTAACAAGTGTATTTTCTTATAATTTTTGCAAGTATCTTTTTGGTGTTTTCAAAAAAATACTATGGTCATTTCTTAACTAAACTGCCACTGTACTTCATTATAAAGATTCTATCTATCTTAATATCTAGGATCTGGGATCTTTATATCCCCCAAGGGTGTGTTACTGGGGACGGGCTCCGTGGGACTGTGTCTAACAGCCTGGGCTGTATCCGCTGTGTTATCATTCTGTGGTGAGTGTACTAAATATATTTTTTAATCGATTTTGTCATTCAAAAAAAAAAAAAAAAAAATTGTGGTATAAGAAATTCAGCTGGATTTCTTGATAGCACAAATCATTTTTTGACACCAGAAATTAAATTGTAAATATTTGTGTTTAGACTGAAATGATCAGTAAGTTTTCACAGAAATAATTCGCTGTATTGGGGTTTTTCCCATTTATTTTCAATAGAAATTTCAAGAGAAATGGAAAGACTAACTTTTACCTGTTACAGAAATAAAGATAAGGCTTACAATTTACAGGGGCGTTAGTAATGGCGGAGCTTGGCCTCCTTCTCCCGCAATCTGGCGGTCCATACATCTATTTAAACAGAGCTTTTGGAAGCTTCCCGGCCTTTCTTTTTGTATGGGTGAGCTCAGTGGTCATTCATCCTGCCTCCTTACTGGTAAAAAGCCTGACCGTGGCCGAATACATATCACAGATAGCCATGGACGACTGCCAAAGAACCCAAGGGTGGACTAAAATAATGGCAGCCATCATCATTGGTTTGAATTTTTTTTTTACAACTTAAAAAAAAATTATACTATCACACAGCTTGTTTATTTCTTTTATTTTTAAAATTTTAAATGCATTCTTAGTTAGTGTGTCCACTGTAAATGTTGCGAGTGTGGAACTAGCGGCGCGGACTCAGGTGCTGTTCTCCGTCATTAAAGTAGGCGGATTACTGGTGATTATCGGCGGAGGATTATACCAACTAGTAATAGGTTTGTTTGAGTTTTTGATGTATACTTTGTAATCTCTCTCTCTCTCATTCAGAACTTTTTGAGGAAGTCAAATGTGTATTATAAATGTGACTTTTAGTTAGAAGAGAGGCAGATGGACATGCATTGTCCAAATTAAATTTCATACCATGGCAAAATTTACATATTCATGTATAAAGTTAAGATCCTTTTTCCACTTATATGTTTTGTTCGCAATATGTTAAAAGACAACTCTGATAGAAGATTCAAATGTTTTGAATAGGAAATTTAGGCATACTTGACTCAGGTTTTGAGGGATCCACAACAGAACTAAGCGGATTTGCTGTGGCACTATACAGCGGTTTGTGGGCGTACGGTGGATGGTGCGTCACAGTATTTTCAGTACTTTGATTAAATCATATATATAACAAGGGGTTAATCTTTATTTCCTAAACGCTATATATGTAGGAAATTATGCCCCCGGATTTAAAGATCCCGGGGGTATATTGTTTTTGTCCTGTCTGTTGTCAACTTTAACCTAGCCCATAACTATTGAGTGGGTGGGTTTATGGCCTTCATATATCTAAGGTGTATTCTTTGTGATAAGACCTTTTTTTGGTATTAACAAATTTGACCTTTTCTAAACCTTGGAGGTTGACCTGCTTTTACAAAAAAATACCACACTTTAACCTTGGCCATAAATTTTGAACAGTTGGAGCTAGGGCTTTCATACTTCAATATGTATTTATTGTGAAAAGACCTTTCAGCTGGTATAAATATTTTTGACCTTGACCTAAGAGTTTGACCCACTTTTTGAAAACTTTAACCTTGGTCATAACTTTGAACAGTTAAAACTAGGGCTTTCATATTTCACAGGTATTCCTTGAAACAAGATCTTCCTTTGGGTACACACACTTTTGACCTTGTCCTTTGGAGTCTGACATGCATTTGAGAGATTTCGACCCTCGCCATAAGCTGTATATAGGGGCATCAGTGTTTCACAAGCACATCTTGTTTTTTTCAGTTTAAAGTCTCCAACCATTTTCGTTTCATGATAAAATTCAAGATAAGGTCTTCCTTGTTGCCCATCGGTTTGCAATGCCTCTCCAAAACATCACTGAACTTGCAAAAAAAAAAAAAAAAAAAAAAAAAACCCAAAAAAAAAAAAACCAAACAAACAAACAACAACAAGGAATGTGTAGAAGCTTTTGGAGATGTTTTATCATTGTCTCTGGCATTAAATTATGTGATAAATCAGTGTATCTTTAATTAATCTGTATTACGCTTTCAGGGGAAATCTTAATTATGCTGTAGAAGAATTGAAAAAACCAAATAGGTAAGTATCCCTTTGATATATATTCTTCTGTGCTCCATGGCGTTGATGTCGCGGATATAAAGCAGAATATCCCTAGCAAGAGATCAAAGGTCGAAGATATTGGAAGAGATGAGAACTTTTTTTTCATTTGATTTTTCATCTGTTCCAGGAACCTGCCACTATCAATAGGTCTGTCCATGCTGATTGTTGTTTTTGTTTACATGCTTGTCAATGTCTCTTACTTTACACTGCTCTCCAAAGACGAGTTTCTGTCTTCCTGGGCTGTGGGCGTGGTGAGTATCGAGTTACTAGCATTACTTGTTTTTATGCAGAGCACCTATGAACGAGATCTTGGATTGTGAGTCACTCAGCTGACCCAACGAATTCCTGGGTTCTGAGTGCGAACACAACGAATTCCTGGGTTGCGAGTGCTAACTCAAAGAGTTCCAGGGTTGTAAGTGCTAACGCAAAGAATTCCTTGGTCGTGCGTGCTTCCTCAAGAAGTGCGTACTCAACGAATTAAACTTCCTTGGTTGTTAGTGCTAACTCAACTACTAGCAATTCCTTGATTGTGAGTGCTAACTCAAACTCATTTCTTGGTTTTGAGTGCAGCTGGTCGGTTATTCATTTTTTTCTTGTTCGAAGCTATAAGAATATGGCGAGTCTGACAACCGATTCCTATCCTCGTCATCTCGGAGTGTATTATGTCTGCTCCATGTTTAAAGTTATAAAAAATCATCAGAGAAATTTAAAGACAGGTTTTATCGATAAAGATAGAAAATACTCATATATTAAAATCTAGTTTATGTAATTCGTCCAAAGAGGCGGGTTACCTGCCGCTTCTAACGATACAGTTGTACCTGGTAATATGTTTAATACAATTTTAGTTCCTTGATTGTGAGCGTGGTCTTATCTTAATTCAGTAGAACTCGCCAAATGAGTTTTACTTTTCTTACATTTTTTTGTATTTTACATTAGACTTGGGCAGAGAAAATGTTCGGGAAAGAGGGTGCAATTTTTGTTCCCATTATTGTCGCTTGTTCGGTGTTTGGGTCTGCAAATGGAGGTGCTTTTGTGGGTTCAAGGTTCGTTTACATACAGATACTAGTATATACCTCAAGATATATATTTAATAAATATATAATATTCTGAGGTATATATCAGTATGTGTTTATTATTATTATTTATATATCTCAGTCACAAGCAAACAGACCAGGAATGAAATAAAATTTATTTATCACGAATTGTACTGATATCCCTATAAAAAACTAAAATTAAGTCATATTCCACTTGGATATTTACGATTAAGACTTTAACACAACATTGGCTTTTTAAGGGTTATTTTTGCTGCAGCCAGGGACCAGAATTTCCCGGAAGTGTTTTGCTACCTTAACGTTCATTCTCTGATCCCGATTCCCTCAGTTATCTTCATGGTTAGTACATACATTATATATCACTGTTATCATTATTATTTATTTTATTTATACAAAATTTTATTCACATAAAGTGAATGGGATTAGGCAGCAGGCAAAGCCTATTTTAACCTTCTCCCTAGCTGTTATTATTTGAGCATCGTGTGAGTAAAACTTTTCTGAGAAGAAAGAGAAATTTAGAAAAATTCAGTATGAAATTATTCTTTTGAGATTAAAAGAAAAATCCGCGGATTATTTATTTTAAGAACCCTTTCTACACTGCACACTCAAGGGTTCTGATTTTATGGTATTTTTGCAGTTAAAGTGATTTGCCCTTAGATCTAAATTTTACAAAATAGAAATTCACAGTATATACACAATATGTAATCAATTTAAGTATTCTTAAAATTTTAAAAGGGCAAGATAAATTAATTAGACGTGTTGCATGTGTTATTAACATGTACTTTCTCCGTGCAAGTAAACAACAGTGATTTCTATTCACTGATACTGTGTTGTTTTTGATTATTTTTCCTGGGGTAAATGAAATGTACTGTATAGTGAAAATTAATTAAAGAAGCTAAATATTAACACCTTTATAGAATATATTTTCTCAATGTCCAAAAAAAAAAAACCCATTTCGCACAGGTATAAGGAGGGTCCTTAAACATATTTTCGTTTTATGGCAAGACTGTTCAGATGGACACTGTTATAATACAATTTGAGTTAACGTTTATCTGAAAAGAAAAATATATAATTATTGAGAAAAATCTCTTTTTGCAGTTCAGTTGAGAAATATTGATTGTTCGTTATATATGACAGGAACATTTAATAGATTGCACATTTTAGCTGAATTTGGTTGAGATTATGTCAGTGTTTGACTTTTGACTCTTTTCAATTATATTTCTTTTACAAAGATGTTATCTTTTTAGCTTTGAGAAGTACAAAATGTGCTTGACAAAGTAAATGAATCTTGTGATTTAACATCACATGGTTACTGACCAAGTGACCTTAAACTAAACCCGCGAACTTAATCAAAATAAATTTTGATTTGCATCAAACAAAAAATGGAATATAGTTAACTAACATTTCTTCTCACACAACTCCACTAAATCTGAACATGACTCGTAAAAAGGCATTAGGTCATTTCGATAATACCCGTGTTCGTGCTTTATCTTGTAACCCCCAATGCCCTGTACAACTATTGCGAGTTTCTTTGGTATCTTACTCTGCTGCCACCGTGCTGCTGCAATAGAAGTACACAGTTATTTTTGTCGCTATATATCGAGTGCTGTGTGGCATATATACGTTTTTCTACAGGCTGATAATGAATGTAAGTGCGTGGTTTTATATAAGGGCCCTAAGATATAGCAAGGGGCAATCGAATATGGCGGACAAATTCCTTCTACGAATCCTGTTCACTTTAAGCATTCTTGTAGTCTGTATTACATACTGAAGTCTGATCTTGTAGATGTTTTATGTAATCCCATACAGCACTGACCTTTCCTCCGTTAACCATGCATTCTAGACACTGATGGCGCTGTTATACCTTGTGTTACCTGGTAACGTCGGGTCTATGATTAACCTGACTGGATTCATAGCCTGGGGCACCTGGGGGCTGGTCATGGCGGCCCACATCGTCTTCAAATTCAAGAGGGACACGAAGGACATTCCACGGAGCGTCAGGGTAGGAACAAAGTAGATCTCCATATAAATTTTGATACCGTTTTGAACAGCAGTGTGAAAAAGGTGCTTCTATATCTGTGTGATGCTGCGTGTTTTAAAATAATTAAAAGAACATAAAATTTAACCTACTATACACTAGGAAAAAAATTATAGTCATATATATTTACAGCTATCATTTCGCCCATTTGTGGCTATTTTTGCAATAGATATATCAAGTTGAATTTTTTACAAACAACAGCGATCCCTTAACTTAATATTATGTTGCTTAAAACAGGCGCTTATTTTTTATTCAAAGTTATTGCAATGAATTTTCCACTGAAACGGACTTGTTTATCTCTACCATCTACTGGTAAGCGAAAAGAAATTGTTCGTCCGTCTGTGAACACTGTTTTTCTTCCCTACACTTAAGGTCTGATTTCAGTATTTGGTACACACACTACACTTAACATATAATTCTATTTCAAGGCTATTGATTTCAGAGGTGTTGTCATTGTTACTAAAAATAGATTAAAAAAAACAAGTAGAATAGAGGATAGGCTTGTCAAACAATATGAAGAATTAATTACCTCCTACTGATTTGTGTTTGTACAATTAGCGAAGTTTACAAAAAATCACCAGTAAGCTTGCAAGTTTCAATCCCTAATTGATTCAAATAGTGTGGCTCGTTTATAGAGTAAAAAGCATTTGTATAAGAATTTCTTTTGTTTGTCAAAGATTACTTGTTACATTTCTTTTCAATGAAATCAGACTAAAACTCCAGGAGGAATAGTTAAGATTTTCACAGAAATTCTATTTTTAATAACAGTTACAATGTCTGACCTAAAATTTTAATCTTCTTGTCAATAACTTTAATCATGGTTTTAGATATTATATATTTCATACTTCACAGGTGTATTCCTTGTGATAGGATCTTTCTTTTGGTATTTAACCTCTTAACATTTGACCCACTTTTCTCAAAAAGTTTATCCTTGATCACTTGGTACTAAGACTTTCACACTTCACAGATCCTTGTGACAAAAACATCCTTTGTTAATTGTACTCCACAATTTTGACCTTAAAGTTTCTGTTATGTTTGAAGGAAAAAAATTCAATCTTGTCCATATCTTTTGAAAAGTTGCAGGTGCTAGGGCTTTTATATTTCACCTGTGGACATTCCCCTGAATATCATTAATTTGATGTTTGACACTAGAGTTTGACACACTTTTAAAAAAATTTAACCCTGGCCATAACTTTTGAATGATTGGTTGCTGGGCTTCCATATTTCACAGTTATATTCATAAATAAAAGTTCTTTATTTGGGAAACAATAATTTTGGTCTCTAGAATGCTGAGTTTGCATTGCACCTTAGAAATTTAAACTGTTGACATAAGCTGCAACACAGGGCACCAGGATACACAATTTTGTTTTATTAAAGTACCTTTTCATGTTTTTAAATGAATGTCTTTTATATACTTTCCTTTCAGCTTTTTTTTTATATGTTTGTCAATTAGAGTGAGGCATTTTCTATCATTTTGTAGGTTCCTAATCTGGTCTCTATGGTTGTGCTACTGTTGAGGTATTTGTTTTTATTTTGTAGGTTCTATTCTGGTCTCTATGGTTGTGCTAGTTCAGGTATTTGTTTCTATTTTGTAGGTTCCTATTCTGGTCTCTATGGTTGTGCTAGTTCAGGTATTTGTTTCTATTTTGTAGGTTCCTATTCTGGTCTCTATGGTTGTGCTAGTTCAGGTATTTGTTTTTATTTTGTAGGTTCCTATTCTGGTCTCTATGGTTGTGCTAGTTCAGGTATTTGTTTCTATTTTGTAGGTTCCTATTCTGGTCTCTATGGTTGTGCTACTGTTGAGGTATTTGTTTTTATTTTGTAGGGTTATATCCTGGTCCCTATGGTTGTGCTACTGTTGTGACATTAGTTTTTAGCTCAACTGAGCCGAAGGTTCAAGTGAGCTTTTCTGATCAAAATTTGTCCGTCGTCTGTCGTTGTTGTCGTTGGCGTCGTCGTAAACTTTTCACATTTTCATCTTCTTCTCAAGAACCACTGGGCCAATTTCAACTAAACTTGGCACAAAGTATCCTTGGGTGAAGGGGATTCAAGATTGTTCAAATGAAGGGCCACGCCCTCTTCCAAGGGGAGATAATTATGAATTAGTGAAAAATTAATAGCACTTTTAAAAAATCTTCTTCTCAAGAACCACTGGGCCAGGAAACATGAAACTCATGCGGAATGATCCTCTGGTAATGTAGATTCAAGTTTGTTCAAGTCATGACCCCCGGGGGTTGGGCGGGGCCAAAATGGCCGACCAAAGTTTTACATAGAAATATATAGGAAAAATCTTTAAAAATCTTCTTCTCATGAACCACTGGGCCAGGAAAGATGAAACTCATGTGGAATAATCCTCAGGTAGTGTAGATTTAAGTTTGTTCAAGTTATGACCCCCGGGGGTAGGGCGGGGCCAAAATGGCCGATCAAAGTTTAACATAGGAATATATAGGAAAAATCTTTAAAATTTTTCTTCTCAAGAACCACTGGGCCAGGAAAGATGAAACTCATATGGAATCATTTTCAGGTAATATATGTTTGTTCAAGTCATGACCCCCGGGGGTAGGGCGGGGCCAAAATGGCCGACCAAAGTTTTACATAGAAATATATAGGAAAAATCTTTAAAAATTTTATTCTCAAGAACCACTGGGCCAGGAAACATGAAACTCATGTGGAATAATCCTCAGGTAATGTAGATTTAAGTTTGTTCAAGTCATGACCCCTGGGGGTTGGGCGGGGCCAAAATGGCCGACCAAAGTTTTACATAGGAATATATAGGAAAAATCTTTAAAAATCTTCTTCTCAAGAACCACTGGGCCAGGAAAGATGAAACTCATATGGAATCATCTTCAGGTTTGTAGACTTAAGTTTGTTCAAGTCATGACCCCCGGGGATAGAGCAGGGCCAAAATAGCTGATCAAAGTTTCACATAGGAATATAATGGGAAACCTTTTTAAATCTTCTTTTCAAGTACTTCAAAGCCATGATTAGTAATATTTATATGGAATCATTCTCAGGTAATGTAGATTCTAGTTCGTTCAAATTGTGATCCCCTTGGGGGTTAAAATTGAAGCCCCCCCCCCCCCAACTTTAGTTACCTTTCAGTTCTGATCTGATACATGTTTTTCCTAGCTGATGTGATCAGGTGAGCGCTGTGGCCCCTGGTCCTCTTGTTATTTTGTAGGTTCCTATTCTGGTCTCTATGGTTGTGCTACTATTAAGACATTTGTTTTTATTTTGTAGGTTCCTATTCTGGTCTCTATGGTTGTGCTAGTTCAGGTATTTGTTCCTATTTTGTAGGTTTGTATTCTTGTTTCTATGGTTGTGCTACTGTTGAGGTACATGTATTTGTTTCTATTTTGTAGGTTCTATTCTAGTCTCAATGGTTGTGTTACTGTTAAAGTATTTGTTTTTATTTTGTAGGTTCCTATTCTGGTCTCTATGGTTGTGCTAGTGTTTAGACATTAGTTTCTTTTTTGTAGGTTCCTATTCTGGTCTCATTGGTTGTGCTAGTGTTGAGACATTAGTTTTTATGTTGTAGGTTCCTATTTTGGTCTCTATGGTTGTGCTAAAGTTGAGACATATGTTTCTATTTTGTAGGTTCCTATTTTGGTCTCTATGGTTGTGCTAGTTCAGGTATTTGTTCCTATTTTGTAGGTTCGTATTCTTGTTTCTATGCTTGTGCTACTGTTGAGGTACATGTATTTGTTTCTATTTTGTAGGTTCTATTCTAGTCTCAATGGTTGTGTTACTGTTAAAGTATTTGTTTTTATTTTGTAGGTTCCTATTCTGGTCTCTATGGTTGTGCTACTGTTCAGACATTAGTTTCTTTTTTGTAGGTTCCTATTCTGGTCTCTATGGTTGTGCTAGTGTTGAGACATTAGTTTTTATGTTGTAGGTTCCTATTCTGGTCTCATTGGTTGTGCTAGTCTTGAGACATTTGTTCCTATTTTGTAGGTTCCTAATCTGGTGTCTATGGTTGTGCTACTGTTGAGGTATTTGTTTAATTTTGTAGGTTCTATTCTGGTCTCTATGGTTGTGTTACTGTTAAGGTGTTTGTTTCTATTTTGTAGGTTCCTATTCTGGTCGCTATGGTTGTGCTAGTGTTGAGACATTTGTTTCTATTTTGTAGGTTCCTATTTTGGTCTCTATGGTTGTGCTAGTGTTGAGACATTTGTTTCTATTTTGTAGGTTCCTATTTTGGTCTCTATGGTTGTGCTAGTGTTGAGACATATGTTTCTATTTTGTAGGTTCCTATTCTGGTCTCTATGGTTGTGCTACTGTTGAGGTGTTTGTTTCTATTTTGTAGGTTCCTATTCTGGTCTCTATGGTTGTGCTACTGTTGAGGTATTTGTTTAATTTTGTAGGTTCTATTCTGGTCTCTATGGTTGTGTTACTGTTAAAGTGTTTGTTTTTATTTTGTAGGTTCCTATTCTGGTCTCTATGGTTGTGCTACTGTTGAGACATTTGTTTCTATTTTGGTCTCTATGGTTGTGCTAGTGTTGAGACATTTGTTTCTATTTTGTAGGTTCCTATTCTGGTCTCTATGGTTGTGCTAGTGTTGAGACAATTGTTTCTATTTTGTAGGTTCCTATTCTGGTCTCATTGGTTGTGCTAGTCTTGAGATATTTGTTTCCATTTTGTAGGTTCCTATTCTGGTCTCATTGGTTGTGCTAGTCTTGAGATATTCGTTTCTATTTTGTAGGTTCCTATTCTGGTCTCTATGGTTGTGCTAGTTCAGGTATTTGTTTAATTTTGTAGGTTCTATTCTGGTCTCTATGGTTGTGTTACTGTTAAAGTGTTTGTTTCTATTTTGTAGGTTTCTATTCTGGTCTCTATGGTTGTGCTAGTGTTGAGACATTTGTTTCTATTTTGTAGGTTCCTATTTTGGTCTCTATGGTTGTGCTAGTGTTGAGATATTTGTTTCTATTTTGTAGGTTCCTATTCTGGTCTCTGTGGTTGTGCTACTGTGGAGGTGTTTGTTTCTATTTTGTAGATTCCTATTCTGGTCTCTATGGTTGTGCTAGTTCAGGTATTTGTTTCTATTTTGTAGGTTCCTATTCTGGTCTCTATGGTTGTGCTACTGTTGAGGTATTTGTTTCTATTTTGTAGGTTCCTATTCTGGTCTCTATGGTTGTGCTAGTTCAGGTATTTGTTTCTATTTTGTAGGTTCCTATTCTGGTCTCTATGGTTGTGCTAGTTCAGGTATTTGTTTCTATTTTGTAGGTTCCTATTCTGGTCTCTATGGTTGTGCTAGTTCAGGTATTTGTTTCTATTTTGTAGGTTCCTATTCTGGTCTCTATGGTTGTGCTAGTTCAGGTATTTGTTTCTATTTTGTAGGTTCCTATTCTGGTCTCTATGGTTGTGCTAGTTCAGGTATTTGTTTCTATTTTGTAGGTTCCTATTCTGGTCTCTATGGTTGTGCTAGTTCAGGTATTTGTTTTTATTTTGTAGGTTCCTATTCTGGTCTCTATGGTTGTGCTACTGTTGTAACATTTGTTTTTATTTTGTAGATTCCTATTCTGGTCTCTATGGTTGTGCTACTGTTGTAACATTTGTTTTTATTTTGTAGGTTCCTATTCTGGTCTCTATGGTTGTGCTACTGTTGTGTGTTTATCTGGTGGTTGCTCCGTTTTTGGATGGTCTGAAGATGGAGTACATTTTTGCTTTCTCTGTCCTTGCTGTTGGTGTTCTTTTATACTTTCCCTTTATCTACCTTCATCTCTCCATTCCAGGAAGTGGTAAGTTTCAATAATTCTTATGTCACCTTGACCTGACCTCATGTCTTTACATCTGAGGACATCCTCAAGTCATAGTAATTTATTTTGACCCTGGAGGATAAGTTCCTTTAAGGAACATAGTACCCATCTGAATCACATTATTTACCTGCCAAAAAATGTTCAAATTGTCCCAAAACTTTAAAATACATCTAAGAAAAATAAATTTTTATTATATTGTGCTAGCAGAAAAAAATTAATTGATATTTATTTTACCCTTTATAAACCTTATCACTAGTTCTGGGACTTACATAAGCTCAATCTGCTACATTGCAAGAAATTTTTCATTATTGTAAAAAAAAAAAAAAAAAATCATTTTTAGCAATATCAATTAAAATGTAAAAGTTACATGTATTTTAAAATATAATGTGTATTAAAACTCATGATTTATTTCAAATAATTGAATGCTATGAAATAAATAAATTCAAAAATATGAACAAGAGGCCCAGGGGCCACAGCGCTCACCTGAGCACATCGGGCTTGAATTTAAACCCCCCCCCAAGCATTCATCATTTGAACAAATTAGAATCTACACTACCTGAGGATGATTCCATATAAATATCACTAGTCATAGCTTTGAAGTACTTGAAAAGAAGATTTTAAAAGATTTCCCTATATATCCGTAAAACTTGGGTCGGCCATTTTGGCCCCACCCTAGCCCCGGGGGTCATGATTTGAACAAATTTGAATCTACACTACCTGAGGATGATTCCACATGAGTTTTCATCTTTCCTGGCCCAGTGGTTCTTGAGAAGAAGATTTTTAAAGATTTTTCCTATATATTCCTAT